TGGCATTGCTCTCCGTCTTAGAGGGTCTATCCGTGGCATTGCTCTCCATCTTAGAGGGTCTATCCGTGGCATTGCTCTCCATCTTAGAGGTCTGCTTCATGTCATGGTTCTTTGTCTTAGAGGGTCTGCTTCATGGTATTTAACTGTCCAAAGGCAATTCATTCTTCTTTGGGACATTAATAACGAAATGCCATAAATATTATTTACAAAAATCCTGTTTTTACAAAAAAAAAAAAAAACGGAGCTGGAGAGATGGCTCAGAGGTTAAAAGCACTGGCTGCTCTTCCAGAGGTCCTGAACTCAATTTCTAGCAGCTACATGGTGGCTCACAACCATCTATAATTCAATCTGGTGTCTTCTTCTGGCGTGCAGGCAGAACACTGCATACATAATAAATAAATCTTTAAAAAATGACCTCAAAGATTCACAAAATTGACCAATGATCCATCACTCAACTCTAGCCTTTTTGAATAGGCAAAACACTATACACACCCCAAAAGCTACCAGTAAAGATTCTCTTCACAGAAGAACAACAGTGTTCATATTAGATACAGTGATCTATCAAAGGGTGAGCATCCCTGAGAGGAAAGAAAAGATGATTCTCTCTGTGACTGACATTGTGCATGCATGCAGGTGTCTGTGTCGATCTGACTGTCCAGTCCACCAGAATTTCCAGGGCTTGTTCCTGTAGTCATGAACCCATATCTTTAATTCTGTAACACCTTCTAGGAAGTCGGTCACTGCAGAAGTCACTGTCTACTCCCTACTCCCTTTCCTTGGAACCTCAAGGCCAACTTGTGAGATAGAAAAGGGGTGTGACTCTGACAATATTATGGAGTGTAAATTTAGCTCATGGCATTCCATGGTTCCCAAGGTTGTATAGTCCAGTGTAAGTGGAGCCAGAGGAAGGAGTCTGGGTTTACGGTCTAAGCAGTGCTCCGTCTGTGGCTAATGGTTCCCACTGTCATCCCTGCCATCTTGACACCTCTAAATAATGTGAGAATCCAAGTCTGCCCAGCCCTGTGAGCCCAGGCTCTGTGTCTCTAATCCTTTCGGGTAGCTCTGTTCCGGGCCTCTGGTAGTTTCTTCCCCAGCATATGGTAACAGTGTTCAACAGAATACCCAAAGGACACTCTTCACAGACCCCATCGGAACCACAAATCCTTTATTTCATCCCCATACATTTTGTCAATTTGGCGGTTGCTTCATGCGGGAGGTAAATCTCATCTTTGGCTACGCCATTTTGGGAAGAGGCTTTGGGTGGCGTTTTTGTTTTGGATTATGGCAGAGCTGAGCAGGCTGTGCAAAATTGCCACGGCCCCTCCATATGCCCCTTCTGCTCCTCAAGCCACTAATGAAGGAACGGGCCGGGGGTTTAAACATGGAGCAGAACACAGACACAGTTCTGGAGAGAGGATGAGGAGCTCAGACTGTGTTTGTAACTCATTACCAATGAAAATGTGTGATGTTGGAGTGGCAACAAGAGCTTCATTTAAAATGACTGAGAAAGTAATTTGAAGGCTCTAGCATAGAACCTGAGCTTTACCAGGGCTCCAACGTTTGGAAACGTGAAGAGACTGGTGATATGCTATTGTAGAACGATGTGGGCCATGGCCCACGGATGTATGGAGACAGTGTCTGGGCCAAACTTCAGAGCCCAAGTCAATACAGTATGGCCATGTTTTGCTGATGAGTAGGGAGACAATAGCTGAGGGTGAAGAGATGACAGGAGGCCATCCTTGTTAGTGTAACCCGGGACACCAGCCCCAGGGTCAGGGGGTGATGGGAGATGACCATTTCAAACACGTATCATCTGGGACATGGGATGTACCATTCCACAGACAAGCTGGAGAGTCGTTGGCAAAGCAGATCTGTAGCTCATGATGGCGTCCAGATCTAGAGGAGCAGAGTAGGAGCTGTCCCATGACCTTGACCTTGAGAATGTTCCTCACGTGTCCAGTGACCTATATTTACTCCCATTTCTAGATCCATCACACTTCAAGGGTCAGGGTACCCCAACCAGTACCCTGAAGGAGATGCATGTCTGCAACCAGATCACCATTTTTACCTTATGGGGACATTAGAGAACACTCTGGAAGGTTATACCGAACTCTTCATTATACATTTCACATGTGTCTGAGGGAAATTCCAAATTATAGTGATCCCTAGCAATGCAGCATAGCTAGAAATAGATTGAAAACTGGGAAGTTGAATTTCAGTGACCACATGTCCCACTGTCACGGAGACGAATGCCCTGAAAGTACCACTAATTTTGCCTCCGCTTCCACCAGCCTTAAAACCTCTCACGAATACACACCCTGAGGCGAGCGCTGCTTTATGTCTTGTGAAATGTGTTTATCTGAGACACATTCCAGAATGACTTCTTTCCCACGGCTCCCCCAGCTGCTTCTCTAACAGCACAACACTGGAATTGGGTTTAAATGTTGCTTTACAACTCCTTTCTGGTTTCAATGACACCTTCACCGCCACGGCAGCTTTCCCAGGGCCTCCCCGCGAATGCTAGAGTTCAGTCTGTAAAATCCCTGTCCACGGTCAGTGGGTATGGCAAGTATGGAGACAGCACGTCTGTCAGTGCTGATCACAAATCTGGCCGCTGGACACTTGCCACCCTTACCTCCCAGGTTACTAATCTAATTCTGAAGAAACTCCCTCACAGAACACATCATGCATAGAACAAGAACAAGAG